CATGAAAATTTAAATATGACTTGAAGCTATATTGGAAATTTGAAAAACATCCAAATACTCAACAACAAAAGGATTAAGGCTACTGATATGTTAAGTTGGATTCAGGATTTTATGTTTATAGCTTCTAGATCACTACTTTTTTTTCTCAATGTTTTTTGATAGATTATTCGTGCATATTAAGTGAACTTTTAATATAAATATATAAATTTAATTAAATTATCGAATTCTATCAAAATTTGTAATTTCACATAGATCAACATAATAATTTGTAATTTTCACTTTTCGATCATATCTCTAAAAATTAATTATTATTTATGAAGTTTTAAATTGCACAAATAAATTTATGCTTGACATGTTTAAACATATGGAAATTTATTCCTATTGAACCAAGAATAAAACAAGTCAAAACATCTTCTCCTCTTAAATCATTTGTTTGAGTACTTCGTTTTTGAGAGTTTGCAAAATGTAAATAATTTACTTTATAGTAATAAAGTAATTATATAAACATGAAAGGTAAGTATACTTCTTTGGTGCTCCTAATTAGTATTCTATCCAAATTTTTGTGCTCTTTAATTTTGTTTTGTTTAAATAGACCACTTTTTGTGTTGGTAGGAATATGCAGCAGATTATTTTGACTCAAATTTGCTTCTTTTTATTTGTCCAAATCGAGATGACTCTAAACAATGTGTTTTTTTTAGTTTTTTTTCTTATTTTTAATTTTTTTGTTGTGCCTTTTGCTTTTGATAAGATATGATGGTGTTCCCCCTTGCTTTTTTTTTTTGGTACCATTCCTAACTTTATTGAGAGCAGATTCTTGAAATCAACGCCCATTCTTCCAAAGGAAAAGAAAATTTGGGTCGCTTTAATAAGTTTTGATTCAACTTTGTCATTAAATTATTATACACTTCTCGACCAACAAATAAAGTTTTACTACAAAAAAGGAAAGAAATATGCTAAAATTGAAACAATTAATTGTTTGAATCCAAAAATACGTTTAAACGAAGGTATAAAAACTTTAGAAGAACTTATTGGTTAGTTCAATTTTAAAGTTTATCGGTTCAGTTTATAGATTATTGGATTGTAGATATGCTAAATTGTTGTTGAACCATTAAAATATCAATTTATCGGTTATTGTTCGTTATCAATTATCGATTTAACCATTAAGATTTCACACAAAAAAAAACTTTGAAAATGACTTTAAAATAAGGTGACAACTAACAAATCAAATGAAATAAGTTGACAGATTGCATCTTGTTCAAAGTAAATACTGACACCTTGTAGAATTATCAAAAGTCCGAGACAGTGAGAAATAAAAGTATGAAATTAAATATTAATCAAAAAAATTATAATATAAATGTAATTTATTAATATACTACTCGGCTTACCCATTAATAAAACATTCAAATGATTAAGAATCGATATCCGATATAAAAATAATCAAAACTATTACCGAATAAACCAATTACCCACTATCAATAAAGTAATAATTTTTTTCAATCCGAATTATTAATTTTGGTTCAATTTTGAACAATCCTAATCGTCATAGTGAAAACATGATGGATGAGTAGACTGTGGACTGACGCGTGTCTTTGGCATTTTAATGTGTTTTATTTATTTCCAACTAACTCTCTTTAATATAATTAGTACTATCAACTAATCAGTTATTAAGATACCAAAATATGCTCTTGGTGACGTACGTAGCGTAATTAAATGATCCTTTTTTATTTTCAGTTTTACATTTGTCAGAAATAATACAAATAAATGAAACATGCTACCAATTTTATATAGGCTCAAGAAGTGAAACATGCTACCAATTTTATAATTGTACGTCTTAGTTTGTTTTTTTTTAATAAATAAAGATAAACTTTAGTATTAAAAATTAATAAATGTTTTGCATTTGTTGAAGCATCCAGCTACAGGAATCATTTCGATGATGATAATTAATTAAAATTCTATATATGGTGGATCAGTGGCTTACAAATATTCCAATAATGTAAATAAAGGCCTCTCGAGGGTGTTGTTTGGTCCATATATGTATATTACCCTATTATTAAACATTATTATACATTAAAAGTTCAACAAAAGCACAATTATTAAGCCAACAACATCCACTCCTAAATTAATTAGGGGGACAATTTTTTTTCCTTTTATTTTCTACACTTATCGCAGTATTCCTCTACTTTCTCTTGTCCTAGCTTAATTCAAAGGCGAATCTAAAATTAGAATGTTTACATAATTATAAATCTAAATCTTTTTTATTTATTAGAGTTTAAATGAGATAACAATAGAATTTTAACTAAAGATATATTAAATTTCAATGTATCCGTACCTTTTACTCTATTTCTATTTTTGTCGATCTCTTAAAGCTATATAATTAAAGATGGACTTAACTATCGTCGAATTGAAAATGCGGATTAAATAAAACTCTTTTTCACTCTCATGTCACATGTATAGAAGTGACGTTTCCACTTGAATCTTGATCAATTGTGAAAAAAAAAGTATATTTAGGGAATTGGAATTGTAGCATGAAGGCCGTAATTTATTAATTTATTTACATTGACGATCTCAACAAACTACAAAGAACCAAAGCCGTTCAATTCTTTATAGTATATAGTTTATTTACAACTCTCACTTTCTTATATAATAAATAATAAGCATTAATAAACTCTAACCAAGTTGAGGAATTTTTTTACAAAACAACATTGCATCACGGATAAGTGGAGTACGTGACAAATTGTGCAAGTTGAAGTTTCATTAATTATTTGCAAATTACTTGGATCTCTCTTTTTGTGGACAAGATCAATGAACGAGTCTTGTAATAAGTAAAAATGATTAATTAAAATAGAAAAGATTTCTGTATATTGCTATTGTGATGATCATAATTTTATGCAGGGTGTATTAAATTAAATATGGGATCAAGTAATATGAAACACAAAAGAGAAATAAGTGTGGATAAGTAACTTTACAAATTGAGGTGCTTTGTTCAGGAATCAAGAATGACATAAAAAGGATAAGAGAAGATCTTATTGAATCACATTAAGAATTATATATATACATATATAGTATAGTATATATTTTTGGGGACAAGGAGCAATTGCTTTAACGACAAGATATGTATTTTTTGGTTAATTATTTCAACTCTTTAATTTAGAGATCCCAACAACCGCTACTAAATAATAAAATAAGAATACGTATAGACAGACATATCCTATCTATAAGAACCACTTTGTCTTGCGTATTATATATCTTGTACTTTGGTCTACTTGATCAAATGGGACGCACCAGAAATAGAATGGACAACCAAAAAATTTCATTTTTTTTTTCTAATTTAGAAAATTAAGTTTTACGCATATGTTTCACGTTAATTGTTCACTCGCTTGAATCAAACTCAATCACATTTTGAGTTTGGAGGATCATTCGTTATTCATTCTCTTGCTATTGCCTGTAGGTAGCACTACAACCAAGATATGTATTATCATATAGAAAGAGGTGAAGCATAGCGATTCATACTACTAGAAAAGTTATGCTAACCAACAAACAATACAATCATTCGATAGCTGCTAGGCACAAAAGAACATAACAAATCACGTAGATAAGCCTTTACCTTTGAGGGTGTGGATGAATAGTCGGAAGAGTCGGTCTTGAAAATCGAATTATTTTTAGAGATATCGAGATATCTGGGGTTCAAATCCCTCTCCATCCACAAAGTCATAAGTACTCGATTTGTTGCCTTATTTATAGATAAGAACGAATTTGATCGACTCGATTCAACTTAACTGATATATAGATGGAATGACCATTTGTGTTATATTTAGTTAGGACCATATCTCCCTTTTCGTCTACAACACAACTAAATCTTATTCTCACCTTTACCTCTCATATTATTAGTCTAGATTATATACAAGTGTGTTTAAGATGATATTTTTTACTTGCATACCAGACACAAAAAGATGAGAGAAAAACCAACTTACTTTTTAATAAAATATTTTCCATCGGATCAAACACACTCTAAATATGCTTTTACAAGTTGCTTGAGGAAGTTTGAACTTTCAAGTTTGGGCCTAAAAGAAGAGCTCGTTGGGCATATGGAAAACTAACGTGAGTAAACTAAGTTCATCTAATTATTCGAAACAGTCATAGTATAAAAATATGTGCACGGATATGCAATATCAGTTGAAATCATTGAATTACTAGTGGAGACAGGTATCATCTAAACTATAATTTGTTACATAATTTAAATTCATATTAAAATTAAGTAAATTTTTTAACTGTTTAACGTTATAGGCAAATAGCCTTTTGCATTACAAATCCATGAATTTTCATGGATTAGTTATCCGTACTTTAATACCAACTAGAATGTATAACTAAGTTTGCATTAGTTATAGATCGGTTGAAAAAAATGTATCAAATAAGTTACTAGTAATACATAAAACTAATACATGCAATTTTTTTTCTAATATGCTCTACCAAACGACCCCGAATTGATACAATGTCTATCAAGTAATTTAGATTCAAATTTCAAGGATAGATAGTTTGTCTTGGAAAAACAAAAGGGAAGCAATTCGCCACCAAAAATCCCCTTTCTTTGGCCCTAAAAAGGAACTCCGGTACAGTAGACTGCCGGAGAAGGAAAATAGGCTCTCTATCACAAGTTGAGATATCGGGAAAATTCAAAGAAATCACCACTTCAGCTAAAGATCGTTTTGGCTCAAGATGCATGTTGTAAGGGAAATTAGGAGTTCAATGCAAAAATATCATAGAGGCAGAGTTTTTTAATTTTTGGTTTGAGAAATTTAAGCTCCTTGTTCCTTGATCAAGTACCTTTTTCTTTTCCTTTAAAGGTAAATCAAAATCCCAGAGTTGATTTCTTTTTTCGTTATTCCATTTTATCAATTTGCCAGAGAGGGAAATATAACTAGTTAGGCGTATGACTCGTCCCACATCGGTGCTGCAACATATATGTCTGTTGTTTATAAACTGAATAACTACGACCTATAGACACGACCTTACTTGAACAGGATCTGTTCTATAGGCTCGTACCACTGTATCCTTGATTTCTAAGGAGACAGGAAACCAAGTCTGGTTGATGAAGCATGGCCATGTGATCAGAGCGTGATTAACAGCTTGCTTATGGCTCCTCGAGCTGTGGCATCAGTAGATGATCGTTCTTGAACCTTTGAGTGGTTTGAGATGGTCTCATGGTTGTCTGACAGACTCCTCATTCTTTTTGTTCCTCTTTCGTTCTCCGAATTCTCGCTGTGCTAGCTTTCCATTTCAGCACTGTTTGCTTCCATTTTGGGTCGCCATTTTTCAGCTTCTCTTCAGTGATGTTTTCTGACTGTAATTTAGAGTTCTTGGCGTTGAACGAGTAAGAAGGCTAGTAGCTAAAAAGTGACCAAGGATGATTCTCAAAGCTATTCGACATAGAGTCAAGGCTGTGATCCAAAGGCATAAAGCGAGGAGAAGTACACTTAACTCTAATGGTAGGTAAATAATATGATTGTATTGTAGTATTAGAAGACAAAATAGTCGTTGAGGTGTTTACTTACATAGTAATAAAGTTGCTAGGAAGCTTACTATTACAGTTCCGTATGTAATGGTATTTTCCACCTGAACGACTGACTCATTTTAATACAAACTGTATGTTTGGCACTGTCAAGTTTTGAATGTATGTAAATTGAGCAATAGTAATATACAGAAGTAACAATCTATGAATTGCTATCACTTGTTTTATTGCTGAAAAAGGAGGACAGAACCTACTAAGCTTTGCTTTGCATTTGGTATATCACACCCTGTTACTGATGCAAACAATCTGTACACATGCCTAACTTGTAGATGAAATATAATAGGAGAATGAACTGCAGTTTTATTACCGAGTTCCTGATAGTCAAGGACCCTTACAGAAACAAGTGAGGAAAAAACTGCCAAAAAATGGATCATGGCATATGAATCCTCAACATTTTACAGACAATACTGGGAAAAACAAACCCTTCTTCAGAATGTATTAGATTAATAAAATACACACAGGTGTGAAGCACTAATACGCAACTCACACGTCTTCATCCTTACAGCTTCGAAGCTGCATCCTTATCTAAAAACCAAACTAATTCTCCCTCGGGTGAAACCATCTGCACAGGCAGCAAATCAGAACTTTTATCATCACCTAGCGATTTATGCACTACATCTGCCTTCCCAGCACCTACTATAGCAAGCGCAATATTTGCAGAAGAGTTTATTACAGGGAATGTAAATGTAATCCTGTTCGGCGGAGGTTTTGGAGAGTCCTTGATGAAGGTGACCCACTTTTCTTTCTCATGGACAAGAGGATGCCCGGGAAATAAGGAAGCTATATGTCCGTCTGGACCCATACCCAAAAGCATTACATCAAATTTTGGAAATCCACTCTCTTTAGAGATGTCTAGAATCTTGCTCTTAACTAAGTGCCTTAGACAAGTCTCGTAATCATCTGCCGCAGCCTCTGCTGATAATGCATCATTTATGGCATACACATGACCAGCAGGAATAGGTATCTGCCAAAGAGAAAAGTAAAGGTGAGGTTAGAAGTTTGGTAGAAAGAATTAAAGATGTCAACTGAGAATAATGATGAAGTAACAGCTATCATCATTCATAATAAGATCAAACAATGTGGGCAGTTCACATGTGAAGCAAGTACTATGAGCAAATTGAAATCCAAAATGATGCCCTTGGCAGCCATGCATCACTAAACATCTTTTCTGATACGTATTGGATAATTTAGTTCACAACCATCTTTATTTAAATAGTCTGTGCTTCAGAGCTAGTCAGACTGCCAAATAAGATGTCACAACAACCCAACTTGTTCGGGATAACAAAGAGCCTTAACTGAAGGTAAGTAGGTCAACATTGAGTGCAATTCAAACCCAATTATTCATCCTTATATTAGAAGGAATTCAGCGAAGTCAACATAAAGTGTCCAACTGATCTTATCAGCAGCTCCACATGGTATTGAGTTGGGCAATTTTTGCTAAGTTTCCCAACATGCACAATTGACAATTGTGCTTAAGCTATAATTACTTTTCAGTTGATCCTCTAAACCTCAACCCCACTAAACTCTTCTAGCTACAAAAATCTCCAAATCATTTCTCATTAGGTAATCTCTACAATTGTAAATGTTTGAAGTATTTTGCTAATATTCCATCATTTTTCATAATACAAAACCCCCCACAAAAGAAAAAAGGGACCTCAGTTGTTTAAGGAGGGCTTCAGGGGTTGACAGGTTCTATAAGAAGTAATTTTCTATAAGAAGTAATTTTATATCAGAATTCTGTGAACCAAAAGCAAACTTTAATGTTTTCTAATAAAAAAGTGGATTCTGTTTATTCCAACATTTCTACAGTGCAAAGATTTTCTTTTTCATTTGTTGTTTTTACATGAATTACGTAACATCATCACTTATCTTAAGAATATGTAATCTAAAACTTATTTAACATACAGCTTCTCCGCACAGTTGGTTCCATGGTAGATATGATCATGTATACCAATTGCTTGTCTTCGTCACATATGACCAACCCCCTCCCCCCCTCCCCACAAAAAAATAAATATAAAATAAATAATATATATATGTATGTATATGTATATATATATATATATATATATAGAGAGAGAGAGAGAGAGAGAGAGAATCCACATAGGTAGAGATTGTTTCTTCCGTCCATCTTGAAGAGACTATTCAAATGACAACCCACCAACCCACACCCAAAAGATCTAAAATCCACATCCAAGTGTAGACTTACCACACTTTACTTACAAAGATGTCTTAAGTATAAAACTCGATCTGGCTAACTAGTGTTATTTTCTATCAAATAAAAAGAGAGGGGATTAGCTTTTTGTAGGAGCGGAAGATGGGCTTATCTTCACTTCCCCTTCTAAGTCAAAAAAACTAAAACTGATAAATTGGTTAATTTTTTATTTTTTTTCGAGGATAGTAACACTAATCTATATATTCACAGGGGTATACTAAATCCAAAATATGTAGTTCCCCTTCAAAAGGTATTACAAACTAATTATATTGCCGCCTATCACCACTATTTCTAACAAATAATCTAAAACGTCCAAGATATCTTCTGCTTGTACTAAAATATTCTGTTTACACCAAAAATAAAACAACACTAGATAAATTGGTTAATTTTGCAGAATAGCTTTGCACATTATTGATTGAATGTGCCAAAAGATAGGGCCAATCAACAAGGAGCTAAAGCCAAATGGCGACATCCCAAGGGGGTGAATAGGGGTATCAGTTGCAGGGCTCAAGGTTCTTACGTATACCAAGTGCTTCTCCCCTGCACCTCAGTGGTAGGTTCCGCTTACCCATAATTTGTCAAAAAGCTCCTGGCAAACACTCATTTTATCTCTAATGACAATTTTTTTTCCTTTCTCCTACCTATGAAATCTAATTACTAGTGACGGCTTCTCCTGTCATTTTAGCCCATTGCAAAGCATATGTTTCTCTCAAGTCACAATAAAAATTGTGTAATTCTCAAATGTAAACGTGAGAAAGCAAATATTGTACACCCCATAGAGGTAGAAAGGGGAAGCCATCTTTCTTTCTGCATTGCCATCTTTTACGATGTCAAATACCAGCCAAGCACCTGAGTCACCACACATTTAATCAAATAACATCGACTGCCTTTGCTCTATCCAAGAAGAGGCAGCAGTCTTTGGTTGCAGCTTACCACAAGGATCTTTACTTCCTTAAGATTTTGGAATAGTAAGGTCTGTAGATCATTAAACTGAATCTTGAGAGGTGCTTCCCTGGAAGTTTCTTCCTCGTAGATCTCATGAAACTTAAATGATTTTCGTGCTAGCACGTAATAGCAACATTTATTATTTGATCTATTGAACAGAGAGTGCACAAAATGTGTTAAAGATAAGAAATCTAATGTTGAATTACATTTTAACAGGGAACATCATATCATTTTAATTCTCACTGATACATTAGCAGGATTTCTTAATCTATGGGACTGCGGAAAAAAATATGTTTATAGTATGCATAACTTGCATTCCTTGTTACCGCTGGCCTAACGCCCTCACATAATTACTTTCTCAACTGATTTTCCCAAATATTTCATCTGGAGTTGATGACTGAGAATCTGAATAACTCTAGATGTATTCTCCATCAATACTGTGCACTTTAGTCTCTGTTCACATTTCCCCCAGCAAAACTTTTTTCTTAAGGAGATTGAGACCATCAGCATAGCTCGTAACTAGAAAAAAAGAGAACTTTTTTTATAACCTGGTGTCCGGGCACCTCTACTAATACCTAGGGGTATCTGATTGAACAAATGAGAAGAAATCACTAGTGCAATAAACCTACTGCGTCCTACATTTCGATCGGGCTAACAAGCAAAAGATCACAACAGTTGGGAAAAACAACAAATAAACAGAGGAGTGGTGAAATATAATGGGAAGAAAGCTAATGAAGAAACTACACTACACACTGAGGCAGCAGCAATAAATAAAATCAATACTTATATTGTAGGAAGGGGAGCAAATATACCTTGGATAGAAAACCATCATAAGCAAGCAAATAATTGCTGTCAGGATGATCCTTTGGAACCACTCTCTCATCGACCCAGAAAACGTGCCATTTGGACCAGTCTATTGAATCAATATATGGTGGCTCCACCAATTTCCTGCAACAAACATTAGCAATCCAAAATAATACTAGTAGAATCGAATAGAATTAATCAATGAATACCTGAGAGACTTGATAAGTGAACCACCGGAAACAACCACAGTAAAAGCATCTCTCTCTTTGCAAAATTTCTCCGATAAATCGGCAGTGTACTTCGCTAGAGCCACAGCAAGTTCCTCCTCGGAATCGTACACTTCCACTTTCGCGCTCACTCTCTCAGCCATTGATGCTTTTGTACGGCACTGAGATCTCCAGGAATTTGTACTCAACACTGAGTTTCTCCGATGCGGGTGAGAGCAAAAAAGTGGCTTTCCAGCAACAAACGATGAGGTCAACAGAATAGGTCGGCGGATAGGAGAGAATCGGGTAGGTGAGATGCGCGAGAGAACGGGAGAAGAGGAGGCTAGGCTCAGTGCACACTCTGCCATGTTACTACTATTAAATAAGAATGAAGTGACTGCTCCATCGGCGACACACAAAGAAAGAAGTTAGTCTGCTGGAGGTTTTGGGTTGGTGAGCAGCTGGGCGTGGCATTCAATGTGGTTATTGTTTTTTGTAAAATATAGAGAAAACGATCATGCTCCGTATTTTATTTATTATTATAATAATTGTGCTTAATTTAAAGAGTAACAAAAAGTAGTAATCAAATTGATTGAAATGGTGCTTAATTTGAAGAGTAACAAAAACTGTTCTTTGATTCCTTGTAATTTTAATCTCTATTTTATTAATATTTGCATAACTAATATTTCTACCTTTTTAATATTTACATAAATTTAACTCTAACTAGCTGAATTATAAATAAATTATCCATAAGTGATTACTATTGTTTGTAATATATAGAAAAAACTATCATTGATCCTTCATATATAGATGTTATGTTATTTTGGTCTTTGATATATCATATTTGATTAAAATGAAGCTTAATTTAAAGAGTAACAAGAAGTTTTTTTTTTATTCCTTAGAATGCTAAGGAATCGTTTAGTGGTTAGAATGCTATATTGGTTGATAATTTTAAAAGTTATAAAGAAATATATATTATTATTGGGAATTCACATAAATTCCACTAGTTTGGGAACTAATTACATAAATATACTTTAGTTTATAATATTATATATTTTATCAAATTTTGGTACGTTCAGATACGTTTAGATACATTGAGATGCATGAAGTCAAAATTTAATATAATTTGTTCTAGATACACTGTATCACTCTCCCCCATCTCGCTCGTATTTGTATTCTATATACATGCTAATCACATCAGATACATACAAATACATGTATCTAGTGTGATTTGTATGTATATGAGATACATAACAAATCTCACTTGCCTCTCTCCATATTTTAGTGCACATGGTAGTAAAAATACACGTATATAAGTATATCTTCCTCAATATATGGTAGGAACTTCCTCATTAGTGATAAAATACGTAATACTTCGAAAGTATATGTAATAATAGTATATATGATATAATATGTAATACTTTCAATTATGCAGTTTCTCCATTATTTTTTGCCGGATACAAGGTAGAATAACTAATACATATTTAACTATCACTCGATGAATAATTAATCTCTGCATAAAATTATACATAAATTCATCCATAACTAATCCATATATTACTAATATTTGCATAACTCTAACTAACCGGATAAAAAATAAATTATCCATTTATTAGTTTTCATACAACTTATACGACATTTAGGAGGTAGATAGAAAATAAGTTATTCATAAAATTAATATGACGTTTGGTTGATAATTTTGAAACCTACATAAATAAGATGTATAAGTTACGAAGAAATATATGTACTAGTATTTTATGGACAATAGAAGATAGAATAACTAATACATGGAGTATAAAATAATACTCCATAGATTCATTCAAAACTTATTCTTACATTACTAATATCTGCATAATTCTAACCAACTATCAAACAACTCCCGTATCTTTTACTCGTTTGGTAATTTAAGTAATGAAGGTAAAATATTCACATACACATATTACTCAATTAAGTTTAAATGTATGCATTTTTATTTTTAATTATATTGCTTGATTTAGCGTAAATAAATACTACCATTTCTACATCTAAAGCATTATTCATTAATTTGTCATATTCAAATGCAGAGGGAGGTGAATAATTACAGAATTTACACAGGTGGCAAGTGAAATTTACCCTTACATTGGCACACTCGTACGACGTCGTTCTCATCAAGGGGAAATCCTAAACCCTAAAAATCCCCCAATATAAGCTTCCTGAAGAAAAAAACCCTAATCTCCATCAGAAAGATAAGATGCAGATCTTCGTGAAAACCCTAACGGGGAAGACCATAACCCTTGAGGTTGAATCCAGCGATACCATCGACAATGTCAAAGCCAAGATTCAGGACAAGGAAGGTGAAATTCATCTGTTAAAAATTTGATCTTTTTTTGGTTTAATTTCTTCTCGTATTTGATCTATGGAACTGAAATGGTGTTCAAATGGAACTAATGAATGGATCTCAACAAATGAATTTATGGGTTCTGTATATAGGTATTCCACCGGACCAGCAGCGACTGATCTTTGCTGGTAAACAGCTTGAAGATGGGCGTACACTGGCGGATTATAATATCCAAAAAGGTCTGTGTTGGATTAACAGTTCGCAATATTAGCGATTGTTTTATTGTTTATTAACTTGCCTTTTTAATGAATTTTATTTTGTATAAAACAGAATCAACTCTGCATCTTGTCCTGAGGCTCCGAGGTGGGATCATTGAACCGTCTCTTATGGCCTTGGCCAGGAAATACAACCAAGAGAAGATGATTTGCCGCAAGTAAGCTCTACATTTAGCGCTTTGGTTTACTTATCCCTATCCCACATCAAATTATTGTTGTGTCAAGATGTATTTATTTCAGTTGAATTTAAACTCTTTAAGATGGTCTGAACAAGAATGTTTTTGTGTTAAAATCACAGTCCTTTATGAATGCGTACTTAGATTGCATTTGGGTGTCAATGTCTTGACCTTTACTTAGGTTGCATTTGGATGTCCATGTCCTGACCTTTTCCACTGATGGTTAATAAAAAACTTCCAACACGGTGATTAAATGGATAGAAGGCTAAAAATGGTGGATGGGAAGTTGTGAGTTGGGTTTAGTCCAAAAAAAACATCTCTGGTGCAACACCTTGAACACGAAACTAACAATATTAGTAGCTGTTTTCTCTCTGATTCTAGCTTGCACACTTTGAGTTGTGTGCTTCGGTTAAAGGAAAATTAAGGTTTTTGGAAGGCATCTAATGTGTGAAAATCTACCAAATATTATCAACTGCTATCAACCCTGTTTCTAGATCCTCCACTATACCAATTTACACATTTATGTTCTAATATTATTTTACCACACGGGGCGGGTTAGCATGAGAAGGTGCTTAGTATATGGTGTACTGACATATGTATTCATTTGAAATGGTAATTTGGTATACCGGAAGTGTGTTGTTTGCTCAAGATTCTGTTGAACACGTCCATTTTCTCTTCAGTTATTATTGTATCATTTGAGGGTCACATGTATCCAGAACTCCAGCTTAATCATGTTTTTTTCTGCAGGTGCTATGCCCGTTTGCATCCTCGTGCTGTGAACTGCAGGAAGAAGAAATGCGGTCACAGCAACCAGGTAACTTGAGAATTTTCTGCAAGATTTGTATCATGTATGTTGTTGAACTCGACTCCATACACTAAACTGTTTCTTTTGTTACTTGCTTTGCAGTTGAGGCCAAAGAAGAAGATCAAGTAGACAGTCGGTTGCATTTCCTGTGGAGATGTTATGCCAATCACATGATTTTGTAGTTCTTTTGCTTAGTTCACATTTTGGTGGATCTATTGTTGTCTGTTTAACTGCGGCACATTTGTTTAGACCCCAGTTCCATTTACAAAAAGAATTTAGTGCTCTTTTGAGTTTGTTATGATTATGGGCTGTGTTTGTTTTCTTTATTTTCGATTAAGTATTGTTGGTTCTTTGGTTGGCGGGTTTTCTGTTATTACCAGCAGTCGGCATATCTCGAATGTTGTGATCCTACTCTCTTAGCCTTGAGACAAAGGATCTAAAAATTTACCTCCGGTGAATAGGATATAAATTACACCTTTGCACAAAGCTACCTTGCAGATATATTGAGAATATGCATTTTCGAAGAGCAAATGTGTACATTGTTATCCTTTAGCTCGAATATTGCCTTCTATAAGTATATCTTCCTAAACATATCTATTATTTGGAGAAGTTGTCACTTTGTCTGAAATACGTTTTGGATCATCTTCTGTGGAGAATCAAGAGCTGCGTATTCTAATTGGAGCAATTCATCAGAACTGAGTTGCCAACCAAGGGCTCCTAGGTTCTCTTCAGTTTGTTTTACAGACTTGACTCCAGGGATAGGAATTGTACCCTTGCATATACACCAGTTGATAGCTACCTGCATTGCGACGTTATGTTAATAGCTATACCTCTTACCCGGTGATTTCAAGGTGCTAAGTTCAAAGGGAGTAAGTATTAGTGAAGTGAAACTATACGTTTACCTGTGGTATTGTTTTCCGACGTCTTTGAGCTATTTCTCTCAGTGAGGTAAGTAGAGGCTCCAATCCAGGCAGAATTTGTCTAAAGAGAAATCCCCTACAAGTGATGTTTTACGTTGAGATAAGTATCAAATAATCGTGTGAACTGTACTTGCTCGTTTACTAGTAAGAAAAATTCAACTTGGGAAGAAATTGAGTGTGTATACCTTGGCCCAGGTGGAAGATTAGAGGGCGTATATTTACCAGTGAGCATACCAAGACCCAGAGGACTGTATGCTATGACCCGTATGCCTAGTGAATCACATATATTTTTTATCTCCATCTGATCACTTCCCATACTCAGCAATGAAAATTGTACCTGATGTTGGAGAGTTCACTGGCTTAAGATTGTCACACCAAAGCAAGCAATGATTCGAATTAATTCAAAAAATAATTTGGTCATATGGAACTTGATGACCACTAACGATGTTTGAACATTAGAGATGATTCTCTCTTTCTTTGGATGACATGTGATATCAAGGCTATCTTGTGTGTCCTCGATGAATATGGGATACATGCTACCTCCTACTAGCACAGGTACGTACCAGATAAGTCAGTCCCATTAGAGGCAATTCATTTTCTTAGACTAACCAAAAGTAATGCATATTCGGTTTTTGACACTTTTAAACAACAGAGCATCCCACACTCTGTTAAAGAAAGGTAACTGCATACGTAATAGTAAAGTAGGAAGAAGACTCAGCACCTGGGCTGAGCGCAAGGGTACTCCTCGGTCATCAAGATATTTGTGTATTTTCAGCAGCTGCTTTGGTCCATAGTTGCTCACTCCTACTGCACGAACTAAACCCTTCACGAGATGGAAACATTGTAATTTGATTTTATCCATAGGTGATGATAAAGACCAGATTTAGCAGAGTCATTTAAGAGTGACAGAATAACACCAAAAATATAAATCTCCCTCACACAAATGCATGCGAATCCAAATAAATACTTTTAGTTAATAGTATTAGTAACCTTGTCATACATGGCAACTAAACCATCCCAAAGAGCTCGTTCCTGCAAAGGT